CAGTGGGGAGCCTGCTTCTCCCTTTCCTCCCCGCCTATGCTCTCCCTCGCTATCTCTCTCTCTCAAATAAATAAATAAGATCTTAAAAACAAGAAAAGATATTGTCATCTTTTCAATCTACTGCTTGCTTTTATGTTTCATGCCCTATTGGTAAAACTTGATACATTGCACTGGGTCAAGTCTAAATTCCTCTGCATTTTCTTCTAGTATGTTCCTTTTCCCTCCAGAAGCTTTCTCTACTCTTAACTTTGACCCCTATTCATTATACCTATCCTTCTCAGATACATCCTATCTCTATCATGAAATCTTTCCCAGGATGTTCACTGTAATGAAGCTCTTTGATTTTCTGTAGTACTTAGTCTGTTTCATATCATTTAGATGTTATATGTTAACTTACGTTAATTTTTAAAATGGATCCAGTGTGGTGTAATGGAGCCTCCCCAGGAACATGTGGTATAATCGAGTGAGAAAGATTTCTATTTGAGTACTAGCTCTGTCATTTTCTAACTCTTTGGCATTAGGCAAGTTGTTATTATTATTCTTTAAAGATCTTATTTATTTACTTATTTTATAGAGAAAAAAAGAGAGTGTGTGAGCAGCAGGAGGGGCAGAGGGGGAGGGAGAAGGAGAGGAAGAGAATCCTAAGCAGACTGCACAGATAATGGCGCTGGATGTGGGGCTTGATCTCATGACCTTGAGATCATGACCTGAGCCAAAACCAAGAGTCGGACGCTTAACCGACTCAGCCATCCAGGTGCCCCTAGGCAAATTATTTAAACTCTGTGGGTTTTAGTTTTCTCATGTGTCACATGGGACTACTGTCCACCTTTAGGGTTATTAAAGATTATAGCTAATAATGCTGGGTAAATGTTTAGCACAAAGGCAGGAATATAACAGGTGCTCAGTAAATGTCAATAGTAGTTTTTATTCCTGATGTTCTATATTTCTTACAGCTCCTAATATAATACTGAGCATGTGGTAAGGACTTTTGAGTATGGTTCAGGGCTAGGTCATTTAAATAGCTCCTGAAATCCTATCGCTTTTATGAAGGCTTCCTGTTGGCTCTGTTCTGTCAGAACTACAAAACTTTCATGGCTTCTCTAGACTGTTCTTTCTGTTCCCATTATCTGTAAGGGGAGCCTTTGGTATGTATTCTGAAGTGGCTTCCAAAGCAGTGATTTGAAGGATTTATTTATTTATTTTTGAGTAATGTTTTGGATTGATCCCTACATTTTTCTAAACGTCAGCAGCTGAGATTGTAATAAATAAAGCATTTTTCACATACCTCAAATGCAGTATGTGAAACACATAGAATAAAATCTTGGCCAATCTGAACTTCAGATGAATAAATTATTTTGCCTAGCTTACTTCAGTTCAGCAGACATTTATTAGTGTAGCTCCTTTGTGCCAGGCATTTTATAGTTGTTGGATTTACAAAGATGAGTAAGACATGGTTCCTGCCTTGGAGTTTAGTCTAGGGTGAACAAGAGACACAAAAACAGATCATTTCAATTGATGATTAATTGTAAGATGGAGGTGAGGGTGGAGCTCTGTGGGATCACACTTGGAGGGTGGTTGAGGGGGAAAGAGATGAGCCTGTTTGTGATGTCTCCCAGAGGACAAATGGGTTGATCCACTTGATTCAGGGACAGAGATCTAACTCAAAGTGGCTTCAGTATTTATGGGAATTTATTGCCTGCAAAGTTCCCAGGTAGGTTTGGCTTCAAGGTACGCTTGATGCCTTGGCGCAAACCATGTCTTCCATGGCCCTCTTTTAATTGTGCCTTTGTAAAAGCCAAATGGCCTCTGTGATTCCAGACTTTATCCTCCTCACATATTATTCCCCAGAGGGAAGAGTAAGTTTTTCTCTAGTTCTAGCTAAACCTAGAGATTTAACTTTGCACATTGACTGTAAATTTTACCTATCCCCGAACCAATCACTGTGATTAATGAGATACAGATTGGTTTGGATAAGTCAGGGCCTACCCTCAAGCTTAGAATGAAGTCAGTCTCATTATTCAAACTTCATGGCCAAAGATAGGAGGAGAGGAGAATGGACGAACAAGAGGCTGCCAGCAAATGTGCACTGGACCGGGGAAAATGAGTGTAAGACTTTTTGGGGAAAGGTAATAACATAAGAAAATCAAGGAAGCAAACACCATCACGATGTATGTGGGAAACAGCAAGTAGTTGAACATTAATACAATGTGTAGTAGAGACTTATAAAATAACATAAAATAACAATGTGGTAGAGTATTTGCTGCCTGCTGGATCTAGTTTCCATACTTTACTTCATTTAATTTGCACAGTAGCTAACTAAAATAGGTATGCCGTCTTGCAGACAGTGAAACTTGAGCCCAAGCTCATAGCCAATAATTGGTGGAGCTAGACTCAAACCCAGATTATCTGACTGTAGAGGCAGCCCATGTGGACATTACAGTATAAGTATGCTCCTCTATATTGCTAGAGTCTCAGGAAATAAGACTTCATATAGTACCATGCTAAGGAGCCGAGTTTTCTCTGGGGCTCAAGTTTTCTTCAAACTCTAGTTCTTTGTTATAGCACGCAAAGGCAGTGGTTGTCAAAATTTAGCGTATGTCAGAGAGACTCTAGGGGTTGGTAAAACCCAGAATTGCTGGACCCTAATAGCAAAGTTTCTGATTTAGTAGATCTAGAGCAGAACCCTATAATTTGCACTTCCAAGAAGTTCCTATATGATGCTGATGCTGGTGACTTGGGAGCCATGCTTTGAGGACCACTTCTTTTAGGTCTTTGGGAGTCTGAAGATTTGTGGTTCAGTGATATTCAACATATTGAAATGAACTCAAATTTCATTGGTACTTCTGCTTAGAAATACACATGTTCTGACCTCACATTCTTTAATAATACAGACATCAAGAATACATTTTGGTTACAGTAATATTCTCCCCCATAGGTCAGGGTCATTGCATACATTTTTCATTAATTCGATTTTGTTGTCTCTTTGATTCTTGCTTATTAAGATTAAATTTATTGTTCTCCTCCCTGGTCCTACTTAATTCACTAATGCTGAGTTTTCCCCCCAATTGTTAAGAAAGTGAATTTGTATACAAAAGATATATATTTAAACACTGTATTTCATTTGTCTATACTTTTATTGTGAAACGTTTTAAATACCAGAAAAAGTAACATGAACACCCATATTTACACCATTTAGAGTCAACAGTTATAAATAATATGTATATGTATATGTATATTTACACACACACACACACACACACAGATTTAGTTTGATCCACTTGAAAGTAAGGTACAGATCTTGTGCTACTTCATCCATAAATATTATAACACACATCTCCCAATAAGAACATAATCTTATGTTCTCTTACATAATCACAATACCATGAGCACACTTAAAACAATAATTCCTAATTTTTTCTAATGCATAGTCATATTCCAGTTTCCCCAGTTGTTCCAGTGTCTTCTATACCTTGTTTTTTTTTTTTTTTTAAAGATTTTATTTATTTATTTGACAGAGAGAGACAAAGCGAGAGAGGGAACACAAGTAGGGGGAGTGGGAGAGGGAGAAGCAGGCTCCCTGATGAGCAGGGAGCCCGATGCGGGGCTCGATCACAGGACCCCGGGATCAGGACCTGAGCTGAAGGCAGATGCTTAATGACGGAGCCACCCAGGTGCCCCTACCTTGTTGTTTCTTATTACCAGGATCCAATCAAAAGAAACTAAAATTTAAGTTTTAGCAATGCTAATGGATCTTTAGGTTCAGATAAGTTCTGTGGTATTTAAGATATAGATATTTGGTTGCATTAACAAAGACACAGACTTAATGATGGTTTAAATAAGGAGGCTGTTTATTTCTGCCATATTTAACCACCTGAAGATAAAGTGGTCCCGGGCTGTAGTGGGTGGGGGTGGGCTCTGTTGTCCTCCATATGTGGCTTCCATCTCTGAGGCCTATCAAGACAGCTATGCCAGTTCCACCGTCATGCTGGGGAGAGTGGAGGGGAGGGTATACTCAGTCCTTTTACGGGCATATCTGGGTATTGCACATATTACCTCTGCTCCTATCTCATTGGCAAGAACATAATCATGTAATTGTATCTGTTGTAATAGAGGCCTGGATAAGCAGACTTTTATGCTGAATGGCCGCATGTCTAGTGATGAAATTCAAGTATCAAAAGAAAGAATGGCTATTAGGGGGAACAGTTAGCTTCTCTGTCACAAGTTCTTTTTTGCAAATGACTGAGTTATACAAAACTACATTAAATCCATTTAATAACTTCTTATACCCTATAATATGACTTTTCTCTTTTTGAGTTGTATAGGCCTAATAGTTGCTCCTACTCAATATTGAGCCCGTATTGAACCCAGACTGTTATTCTTTTTTGAATGCTTTGATATGTAGTTTATAGATGTTCTGTCTGTTCCTAGGGCAGAAGACACTTCAAAATCAATCCGTAGTTTAGGGCACATCTGTGATTAGTATTTTTCAATATTAGTATTTTTCACTCCCAACAGTGCTTAACACTATGGTCTGTGTAAAACTGGTGCCTAACACATGTATATGATTTTGGTCTCTTGTGTTTGACTCATGTCTAAGTCATTTGAAAGTATGAGACTGACATACTATGAAGAAGAGAAGTAGCCTCTACTCATTAGTTTTTGTTATATTTCTGATTTTGGAAAAAAAATAATATCTTACAGGGTCATGATTGTTCTGAGAGATTATCTATCTTGAGCTAGAGATTTTAGCATATAGTAAATGAAAATAAGTGTACTTAAAATTATAGACATCTTCTAAATAATTTAAAAATTGGGAAATGTATGTATACTGATATACAATAATCTGATAGCTTTATCAGTTTGTAATTTAAAATTTTAACTGCTTATATTGCCCTTTGAGGAAAAGATTAACTATGACATTTTTGTGATGGGTAGTGATAAATGGAAACCATTATATTTGTAAAGAAAAAGCCACTTAATTTCCTCTAATTTTTCTTTAGGTCGAGATTTAATTTGTATCCAGTCTATGGATGGGATGCTGATGGTGTTTGAGCAGGAAAGCTATGCTTTTGGGAGATTTCTCCCTGGTTCTCTTTTACCTGGCCCTCTTGCTTACAGTTCCCGTACAGATTCCTTCATTACTGTCTCTTCTTGCCGACAAGTGGAAAGTTACAAGTAAGTTCGGACGTTGAATCTTTGGAATCATGACTCTTGGTATGTTGCTGATTCTTTTTTACAAAAAGCTTGGATGTTACAAATGAAAAAGAGACTGGTTTCTTTGATAAAATGTAATTGTGGTGATTTAGAGGATATCATTTACATATTATAAAATATTTGCAAGTATAGTGCAGAGATTGAGAGAAAGGATTTGGAAAGAGGCAGACCTGGATTGGAATCCTGATTTTGCTACTTGCAGCTGTTTGATGGTCAGTGTCCTTAGCCTGGTTGTAACGGGGATAATGGCGGCTATTTTTTTTTTTTTTTGGCTTTTAAAGTTTTTAATTCCAGTTAGTTAGCATACAGTGTTATATTAGTTTCAGGTGTATAATATAGTGATTCAACAATTCATACATCACCCGATGGTCATCACAAGGGCATGCCTTAATCCCCAGCATCTATTTAACCCATCCGCCATCTCCCTCCCCTCTGGTAACCATCAGTTTGTTCGCTATAATTAAGAGTCTGTTTCTTGATTTGTCTCTTTCTTTTTTTCCCTTTGCTCATTTGTTTTGTTTCTTCAGTTATACATATGATTGAAGTCATATGGTATTTTGTCTTTCTCTGACTGATTTATTTCACTTAGCATTATACTTTCTAGCTCCATCCATGTTGTTGTAAATGGCAAGATTCCATTCTTTTTTATGGCTGAATAACATTCCATTGCTCGCATGTACGTTTGTGTGTGTATCATATCTTTTTTATGCATTCAACGATAGATGGACACTTCCGCTGCTTCCATATCTTGGCTATTGTAAATAATGCTGTAAACATAGGAGTGCATGTATCCCTTTGAATTACTGTTTTTGTATTCTTTGGGTAAATATCCAGTAGTGCAATGGTTGGATCGTAGGGTATTTCTGCTTTTTTTTTTATTATTATGTTAATCACCATACATTACATCATTAGTTTTTGTAGTGTTCCATGATTCATTGTTTGCATATAACACCCAGTGCTCCATGCAGTACGTGCCCTCTTTAATACCCATCACCAGGCTAAGCCATTCTTGTTTTTGTTTTGAGAGAGAGAGAGAGAGAGAGAGAGAGCAAGTGGGGAGGGACAGAGGGAGAGAATCTCAAGCACGCTCCATACCCAATATGGAGCCTGATGAGGAGCTCGATCTCACAACCCTGAGATCATGACTTGAGCCAAAATCAAGGGTCAGATGCTTAACAGACTGAGGCACCTAGGCGCCCAAGGGTAGTTCTGTTTTTAACATTTTTTTTTTTAACTTTTTGAGGAACCTCCATACTATTTTCCAGAGTGGCTTCACCAGTTTTAATTCCCACCAACAGTGCAAGAGGGTTCCTTTTTCTCTACATCCTTGCCAACACGTGTTGTTTCTTGTGTTGTTGATTTTAGCCATTCTGATAGGTATGAGGTGATATCTCATTGTAGTTTTGATTTGCATTTCCCTGATGGTAAGTGGTGATGAACATCTTTTCATGTGTCTGTTGGCCATCTGTATGTCTTTTTTGGAGACATGTCTGTTCATGTTTTCTGTCCATTTTGTAATTGTATCATTTGTTTTTGGGGTGTTGAGTTTTATAAGTTCTTTATATATTTTGGATACTCACCCTTTATTGGATATGTCATTTGCAAATATCTTCTCCCATTCCGTAGGTTGCCTTTTCATTTTGTTGATCATTTCCTTTGCTGTGTGGAAGCTTTTTATTTTGATGTAGTCCGAGTACCTTATTTTTGCTTTTGTTTCCTTTGCCTGAGGAGACATATCTAGAAAGAAGTTGCTACAGCTGATGTCAAAGAAGTTATGCCTATGTTCTCTTGTAGGATTTTTATGGTTTCATGCCTCATATTTAGGTCTTTAGTCCATTCTGAATTTATTTTTGTGTATGATGTAAGAAAGTGGTCTAGTTTCTTTTGCATGTTGCTGTCCAATTTATTTTCCCAACACCATTTTTTAAAAAGATTTATTTATCTATTTGAGAGGAAGAAAGTAAGGGTGAGCACAAGCAGTGGGAGGGGCAGAGGGAGAAGCAGACTCCCCACTGAGCAGGGAGCCCAACTTGGGGCTCGATCTCAGGACCCTGGGATCATGACCTGAGCTGAAGGCAGACGCTTAACCAACTGAGCCACCCAGGCGCCCCAGTTGAAGAGACTTTTTTCCATTGGATATTCTTTCCTGCTTTGTCAAAGATTAATTGACCATATAGTTGTGGGAATAATGGCTGTTTTGACAAGCTTGTTAAAAGGATTGAATGTATGTCAAGTTGCCACCCATGGAAAATGCTGATTAATTATTGTGACTGTTCCCTGAATTATTAATAATAAAGCACAGTATGAGTGAAAAAAGCCAGATGAAAAGATGCATATATGAAATTATTTTATAAAAAAATATGTGACATAGGAAGAATACTAGCAAAAATACAGGTGTTATTATGAATGTTTTAAAAAGAACAATTCTTAGCAGAAATGAAGTATGAAAATGACCCTATGAAAACAATTTATACTTTTTGCTAGAAATTCTTACTGATTTGGGGGAATTGTGTTTGAGAGAGACTTTTTTCTTCTACCAGCTAAATTTTAATAAAAATTAGGGGTTTGAGTTTTTAGAGGGTGTGTTTTTTTGTTGGAGGGGATAATGGGGAAAAGAAAGTACAAATTCATTCTTGGAAAAGAAATAGACTTGGAGGATTAGAGTATCTCCAGTAACTTTATTGTTGTTATCTTACCGATGGCAACACTTAGAACTTTAAATGTCTAAGCAACACTTCATTATAGCTTTTCTGTATTAGTTTTGGTCATATGATTTTTACCAAGGCAGGAAGAAATATAAATTCATCAGGCAACACCTGTAAATTTTTGTCTTTAAGTTTCAGTATTGTGCATATAGCAAGTTAGCGCAGTATTCCCTTCACCTTCATAAGTGGCAGTCTGCCTTTTGTGAATTCTTGTCAAGGTATCTTAGATTCAAAACCCTGAACATAAGCAAATGTTTGTGACTAAGCAGAAGTTAACTGACGGAGGTACTGTGTCATTATATCATATTCCTTCTTTAACTCCTATGGCTCTTATCCAAAGGAGACGAATGAATTGTGGCATTGCTACTGGTAAGAAATAAAATATACTTATTTTGAGAGGGTTGAGAAAAATATCTGTATAATTCATTCAAGCCTGCCAAAGATTAAGCAATATTGAGGAGATCTGCTTTCCAGCTTTCCACCCAGTTCCGTGCCTCAACTCCTGCCAAGTAGGGATACTGGCAGTGCTACACCGGGGTCACAATAGGAAGATTTGAATGCTCCATGACTTACTCTTTGAAATATGTGCATAGGAATTAATTTGGTAATAACTCCAGGAGTGACTGGATGAGGAAGCAATGTGTAGGTTTCCTTAATGGGTAAGTTTAATCTCAAAGAAACTCACCCTCTTTGAACTGTGGTAATTTACCAACATACCAATCTATTAAATCCATCTCCATCTGGGACTAAAAATGCACACCTTATCCATTGTGTGGATCTTTTATAATGGTAAAAATGCATAGGATGTGGGATTATTATGAAATGATGCAATTAAGAGGGCTTATAACATTAAATAGTATCTTACATTTATATACGCTTTTAAGTTTAATAGATTAAATTAAATGATAATCACTGGTGCCATTTAGGGTTGGAGGAAGCATGAAAACTCTAGGTTTGTTCTTTTGAGGCTTCATCTATTTATGATCAGTTAATAGAATGTAATCAGTTAATAGAAAAGGCTTTTAAGACATAATTTATTTTCATTTTTGATATTGCTATTTAATTACTGTAAAAAAAGCTCAGTTATATTCAGATAGGAACTAGCGAAGGCTGTGGATCTCAAACTTCAGTGTGCGTAAGGATCACTTGGGCAGCCTGTTACAAAAATGCATATTTGCAAATCCCCGATTGCCAGTACACTAGACTTTGATTTAGTAGGTTTGGGGATACGAGCGAGGGATCATCATTGCAAACATATAGTCTAGGTGGTTCTAATTCAGAGACACACTTTGTTGTTTTTCTTTTGAAGTGAGAGAATTGTTTGCCTTTTTTGCGGGGGGGTTGCAGGATAGATAACACCATTCTCTTAGCAATGTTCGTCCCAATTTTGGATTAGCTTTTATTTTCTTTTTCTTTTTCTTTCCTTTACTTGTCAGAATTATTTGGTCAGTAAATCCTGACCTTTGGGTCTTTTTCTCCCTGGTATTCAGCCTTTGCTTCCCATTTCCCATAAAGGCAGCCAGGCCTTTCTTTCTTTCTTTTTTTTTTTAAAGATTTTATTTATGTATTCATGAGAGACAGAGGAGGAGAGAGAGAGAGAGAAGCAGAGGGAGAAGCAGGCTTCCCGTGGAGCAGGGAGCAGGGAGCCCGAAGCGGGACTCGATCCCAGGACCCCGGGACCATGACCTGAGCTGAAGGCGGACGCCCAACGACTGAGCCACCCAGGCACCCCAGGCCTTTATTTCTCACTTGGATTTCTGGTTTTCTTACTTCTAATCTAGACTTTGAAGGATCCTTCTCATATCTAGCCTTTTAAAATAACCTGTGTAAGCCAGAATAATTTTTGTTTCCCATTAAAAAATTGAAACCCTCATACATTGACATTCAGTGCTCCTTACAACCCAGTCCCATTCTACCTCTATTCATTTGGATGTTCAGACTTGGAAGGGACTTTTAAAGTTAACTGGTTCAGTTATCCTCCTTTTTTTCACCTCCTTGATATATTATTGCCTAAAACACTGATTTTTGCCAAATATCATATATTGCCTTCTTGTATTCTGCTGAAATATTCCAGAGTATGTCTTATGTTATCAGATTCCTGAGAGCAGAGTTTGTCTTAAACATGGCTGAATAAGTTCATTTATTCAATTATTCATTCAGGAAACATTTTTCAAGGCGCTTCTCTGGTTCACACACTGTGCCAGGTACTGGAAGCGCAGAGTCAAGTAAGAGCTGTCTCTTGTCCTCAAGCAGTATGCAAACAAGGGTGGGAGGTAGTGAGTCACAACAGTGTGTCAATTGTTCACAACTGAACAATTCAGTTCATTGTGATAGAGGCTCTAGAGAGCTGTGCACAGGATACTGAGAAGGGCTGCAGGTGGGACCTCTCAACAAGAGTTCAGTGGAGGGAGGCTCTCTGAAGAACTATACCTGCCATGAGCTTTATTTTCTCTCCTCTTCTTTGCTACACACCATACCCAACATGTGCCTAGTTCACTGCTGAGTAAATAAGCGACTTTAAAGAAGTATTTCTAAATTATTTGTAGAGTTTAATTGATAATATTTTATTTATTTATTTAAAGATTTTATTTATTTATTTGACAGAGAGAGACACAGCGAGAGAGGGAACACAAGCAGGGGGAGGGGGAGAGGGAGAAGCAGCTTCCCGCCAGGCAGGGAGCCCACGTGGGGCTCGATCCCAGGAGCCTGGGACCATGACCTGAGCCGAAGGCAGACGCTTAATGACTGAGCTATCCAGGCGCCCCAAATGACAATATTTTAAAAAGAATATTGTGTTCTTCACCATCCTTAGGCTCTGGCCAAATTGAAATATCTGTTTTCCATACATGTTTAGGGCTTTTCTCTCTCTCCTCTTTTACTCATGCTGTACTCTCTCTGAAGGTTTTTCTTTCTTCTCTGTATATGAAAATTATGTCTGGAAGCCTCTCTGCTCCCCTGCTCCTCTTCCTGACCTAGCCGTAAGTAGCACCTCCTCCTTCTTAATTTCACGGAGTAGTTTTTTTGCTCTTTCCATAAGTACTAGTAACACTTTAACTGGTATTACATATTTGCTTGTTTTTCTCCTTGACAGGGCTAACTGCTCCTTGATGGCAGGGATTTTGTAACTCCTGAAATGCCTAGCATTGTACCTTGCTAAAGGGAGATGTTTAACAAGAACTTGATGAAAGAGTGAAAAGTTTGTAAGGAAAGCTGTTTTGGTGCTGGCATGTTTCAATGAAAAGGACTCTTCCTGGCATAACTAAGAATGTTTTAGCTTTACTCGTAATGAACATAGTAATGCTCTGTATCCGGAGCTTCCATTTCTAGTAGAGTTCTCTGGGTAAATATCAAGTTTCCAAGATCTCCTGGTGCCTTTGCAGTGACAACTATGTTTCATTTGAAAATAAGTGATTTTGGAGGGTTTAGTTTTGTGCTCTGTGACACCTCAATCCATATTTTAGTTACTTGGTGCTGTTTTTACGATGTGATATGGAAGAGCACTAAATTATATGGCTGAGTTTGTCACTGGTGTTCCACAGGACCTGTTAAGCATTTGTGGCTCTTGGGTCAAAAAGTGCTACCATTCACCTGGACTTGCTGTGTTTGTGCTTAGTGCCTTTCTGTTGAGAAACACATATGATACACTCTTTTGTGAAATCTTATTACACTGGGCCTGATTATTCTTTCAGCAGTCTCAATGAGGGAATTCTATTCCTTAGCTTATATCACTGAACATTTGGGTGGTAAGAAAAAAAAAACCCAAGTATTTTCTTTATTTCAGAATTTCCAAGTCTGCCTGGAATTGTTTGGTTTTGGAAATAGGTTTCCATGTACATTATTGGTCACAGTAAAGAGGACTTAAGGAAGAACTTAAAATAGATGCTGTTGTAAGTTTGTCATCATCTAAATTTACTGTCAGTTACATTTAGTAATAAAATACTCTTCTGAGTTGTCTTCCAGGAAGAGCAATGGTCTGGATTTGGAAATCAGGAGTCAATTTTGGCTGTGTCTCTGCCTGCTGTTTTGATGTTAATGAGGCCACTTTAGGGGCTCACTTATTCCTGCATGATATAATAATGCTTTGTAGTTCTTTAAGAAGCTTCAAACAGCTCAAAAGCTTTGGATTTTTACAACAATCTCATTAATATCCATATCATCCTCTAGCAGGTTGGTGTGTGCAGGAAATGAACCGCCTATGTAATTAATTGCCTGAGGTTGGATCCATAGCAGGCCCAGCTCTGGGGCTGATGTTTTAGTCACCAGTGCATACTATTTCTGTTACTGTGTGCTGGGAAGAGTAAAATAATCCTATCTGAAGCTTGGAATGTGAGGTCTAATTATTTGGCACTGCTGGAGACAGAGGGATTTTGTAGGTCAGTCTCAAATGGTATGGAGACATTTGCTACAGCTGCCCATGGAATTTCTTAGCATGGTTTTACAAGGCTGAGATCTTCACCCTCCTACCTTTTTTGTCTCATTTCCCATGGCTCATTCCTCCCTGCCATGCATCTCTCCTAAACTCCTGTCATGGCCTTTCATGTCTTTTTTTACTCCTTGCCTTTTCATGTGCTGTTGGCCTTGCCATAATGCCTTTACCTCTTTACCAGCATGATGGGTGTTCACTCATTCTTTAAAACCTGGCTTTCTCCTCCTGAACCTATACTAAAACATATATCTCCATCTCAATTACTTGTTTCTGCCACCATGTTCCCTAGGAACCATGTGCATACCTCCTATTATTAGCACAGAGCACTCTTAGATATATTAGATGTATTAGATCGCTACTATATGTTTATTGAATTGATGAAATTCATATACATTCAGCTTCCATATTAACCATAAGACTGATTTTCATGAATACCTTGCTAATAGTTATTTTGCATTCAACTGCAATTAAAGGCATTTTTTTTTTTACCAAGTATTTCTGATTGAGATAGTTTTAAGAGTTGGTATATGACATTTGAATACCAGTGTACATTTTAGTGCTTATTTAGGTATTCCACATTGCTTTTATTCATTCAGGTCATTGATTTTTACACTTTCAGCTATCTTTCTCTTAGACAAAATGAGATGTCCAAATATATCTACTGATTTTCCTTTTAGCTATGGAAGAACAATGCAAGAGTTTTGATTCAATAGGAAAGAAAGGAATTTATGAGTCTGAAGCTTCTTCATTCAGAGTAGGATTATTATTTTAACAATATACCATTAATTAATGGGAAATAAGAGAATTTAAATTTTATTGGCTAAGTTAATCATTTCTAGATTGAATGATATTTGTGAATTTTTAGGAATGATTTAAGCTAAAGGTTACTAATGAAATAAAAGCTATCAGACACTTATAGAAAGTCATAATGTACATGATGCCCCTTATTGAGAACTTATTAACTACCAGATAAACTACTAGGTGATTGATCTCTATTTATATGTAAATCTGTGTCTGTCTGTTTGTTGATCTATTGGGCACCTAATATATGCCAGATACTATACTAGACATTAAATTATTTTTAAATTCTTTTAACCATGTTTGAGTTAGAGATTATTATTCCCATGTTGTAGATGGGGAAGTTAAGACACAGTGATTAATTTGCCAACTAGTAAGTGGTTTATCTGGGGACTAAACTGTGGTCTTCTGGGGTCATAGAATATCTGTTAACAATTTCTACTACATCTGGCTGCTTTGCATTATTTATGTTTTTTTCTATGTGGTGTTTTGGTGCTGGATCTTTCTTGAATATTGTTGTTTGTCATATAAAGTTCTAAGGGAAATGCTTTGATAGTAGGCAGAGCTATTTTCCCAATATGGAATTTTGGGACATGGTTATAATTTCTTTATCATGATAGTTTTACATAGTTTCATGTCACAGTGTCATCCAGTAAGAATTCAGTCTTAAATTTTACAGTTTTTAAAACCAAGAAAAAAGTAATTCATAAGTTTATAGATTATGTGATTTTAAAGTTTAAAGTAATTTATACCTTTTAACTATAAAATCACTTATAATTATTCATATCTTTCAAACAGGTACCAAGTACTTGCTTTTGCAACGGATGCAGATAAAAGACAGGAGACTGAACAACAAAAACTTGGTTCTGGAAAGAGACTTGTTGTAAGGCCTTTTTTATTATATAAGAATTTCAGTAATGTCATATCTAACCACCAATTTTTTTTTCCAGAATAAAATTCCTGGGAAGGAAGTTTTTAAAAAAGATTTATTTTAGCTATTTTTCTTTTCTATGTTATGATTCTATCAATGGGCAAAAATTTAGTTGGCTATTACTGAGCAATGGAGACACATGTTGCTCCTGTTATAATTTATTAGATCATAGAATTGCACCACTAGAATTATAAATGTGCAGATGAGGTCACTTTTAACTGAAGTGATTATAAGACAACATAGCAAAAAGAGAAAAATTAAAAAAGAAAAACCTTTAAGAAGCAAAAATATTGTTACAAGTAGGCATGTGGTTAAATATATAAGCAAAAGATAAAAATTCATAGGCCACAAAGATAAAATTGGCTCAAAGACAAAGGTAGAAGTTTGGTAACTTGAAAAATAGTTTGAAGAAAAATTGTAAATGGTAAATTCTCTGTTTAATGAAAATTAGGAAATAGATGATGGTTGTGAACTCTTTATCCTGAGAACCTCCATAGACAGGAAAAAACAGAAGGAATTGAAGATTATAATGGAAATAGTAAAGTGTATTTGAGATGGACACATACTTAAGAAACCACATGAGGAAATAATGTGGAAATTAGAATACCAAGGAAGGAAGAATATTAGAGAAAACCAATTTTTTGTATTAGGATATAGAAATTAAGGTAGGAAGGAAGGCTAACTTGAACCAAGAATGAAATGAAAACATATTTTCTTAATAATAGTAAAAAGTGAAAGAGAGAACACAACAAATACAAATATGACATACTTTTTCACGGAATTTGGAGGCACCATACCGATAATGGTTAAAGCATAGACTTTGGAGTCAGACTTTTTTTTAAGGTTTATTTATTTTAGAGAGAGAGAAAGAGAGAGCACTTGCGAGTAGGGGGCGGGGCAGAGGGAGAAAATCCTCAAGCAGACTTTCCGCCAAGTGCAGAGCCGATGAGGGGCTGAGGCTCGATCTCATGACTCATGACATCATGATTGAGCTGAAACCAAGAGTCGGATGCTTAAGCAACTAAGCTACCCAGGTGCTCCTTGGAGTCAGATCTTGAGAGCTATACTTACTACTAATTCTGAGCAAGTTTGAGCAAGTTTGTTAACCTTGCTAAATCTCAGTTTTCTCAGTTGCAAAATGGTGATAATACCTATTTTACAATGTTGCCATTGAAATATATGTATATATACATATACACACACACACACACATATATTTATAGCACTTAGCAAAATGTCTAGATGATGAAGATGACATTGATAATGGTAGTCAAATTGTCCTTGACCTCCTCCTCAATAGTGGTTTTCTTCCATTTGTCCCTTATATTCTGCACTCCAGCCACATGGGCTTCTCATTGTTCCAGATTTTCCATGGCTGTTCTTGATTCAAGGCTTCTGCTCGTATTTTTTTATTTAGTCTGGAATGCCCTTTACTTATTAATTGTAGATGTTTATTGATACTACTCTGTACCTTACACTGAGGATGTATTCTGAAGGCAGTTACAATTGAGTGATTTTCCCATTCTCCTTTAATTAATAAGTTGAGTAAGAAATATAGCAGTAAAACTTCCTTTTGTTACACCACAGTCACTTGGCAGGACTCTGATGCCATGGAACATTAAGTCTATTGCAGAGAAACAAAATTTATCCAGGGGAATGCTTTTAATAAGGTAGTTGTGAGAAGGCAGTTAAAAGCTGCCTATGTTACTCAGAGCTACCTCTTAACTATTTGTTGATTTCTAATTTAATTCTTTTGTGGTTAGGGAAATACTTTGTATGACTCTGAATTCTTTGAGATTTATTGAGATTTGTTTCATGGCCTAGAATGTGGTCTATTTTGGTAAATCTTCACTGAGCACCTGAAAAGAATGTCCATTTTTTTTTTTTTTTTTTTTAGCTGTTCTTGGGTGTCCTGTAAATGTCAGTTAGTTTGGATGATAGCATTGTTCAGATCTTCTATGTCCTTTTTTTTTTTTTTTACTAATTTCTCTCATTTATTCAGGGAGGGGTATTGAAATCTGACTGTGGATTGTCTGTTTCTCCTTGAAATTTTGTCAGTTTTTTGCTTTATGTATTTTGAAATTCTTTTATTAGGTACATAAACATTTAAGATTGTTATGTCTTATAATGAACATATACCCTTTTCATTATCAAGTAACCCTCTATCTTTTTGCTCTGGTAACATTCTTCTTTTGATGAGTGTTATTCTGATATATCTGTTTCCGTCTTTTTACTTTTATCCAATTTGTGTCTTTGTAGGGAAAATTCATTTCTAAGCAGCACATAGTTGGGTCTTGCTTTTTTGTTTAGTATGATATGGCTCTGCCTTCTAATTTGTTTTTTAGACCATTCAAATGTCATGTGATTATTAATATGGATAGGTTTAAATTTGTCATGTGGCCATTTGATTTCTATTTGTCCCATCTGTTCTTTGTTTCCATTTTCCTGTTTTTCTGCTTTCTTTTAGAGTTATTCAGTATTTTGTATGATCCATTTTATCTTTGTTGGCTTATTAGTCATAATTCTTTGTTTTGTTATTTTAGGAGTTCTTTTAGAGTTTACAGTATTTAACTTATCATGATCCACTCAGTGGTATTATACTATTTCACATATAAGAACCATACTTCTGTTTCTCAGCCTTTGTGTTATTGTCATATGCTATATTTTTACATACACTATAAACTCCATATTACATTGTTATCATTTTTGTTTAAATACTCAGTATCTTTTAATGTGATTTAAATGATAAGAAAAAATATATTTACCAATATAGCTACCATTTCTGGTCCTCTTCATTAATTTGTGTAAACCGTATTTCCATCTGGTGTCATTTTTCTTCCTCCTGAAGGACTTGTTATCACATTTCTTTCAGTGAGAGTCCACTGGTGATGAATTCTTTCAGTTTTTCTATGTCTCCAAGGTTTTTTTTGCCTTTGTGTTTGAAAATATATTCTTTGGGTATAAGGTTTTAGTTTGACAGATTTTTTTTTCCCTCCCTGGCATTTTAAGAGGTTGCTCCACTCTCTTCTTGCTCCCATTGTTTCTCATGAGAAATCTGCCTACATTCTTATCTTTGTTCCTCTCTTCATAGTATCTTTTTTCCTCTGGCTGCTATTCTGATTTTCTCTTATCACTTCTTTTAAGCAATTAGACTATGCTGTGGCTTTGTGTAGTTTTCTTTATTTTGTGCTTAGAATTTGTTGAGCTTCTTGCATCTGTGAATTTATAGTTTTCATGAAAATTAGAAAATTTTTGACTCTTAATTCTTCAAACTTTTTTTTTTTTAATGTTCCATCTTTCTTCTCTCCTCTGGGGACTCCAGTTACACATACATTAGCCTACTTAAAGTTGTCTCACAGCTCACAGATTTTATTTTCATTAAAAACATTTTTTTTCTATTTTGTTTTGCTATGTTTTCAAGATTACTAACCTTTTTTCTATTATGTCTAATCTGGTGTTAATTCTCATGGTTTTCATCTTTACAAGTTCAATTTGGTTTCTTTTTCTGTTATATCTTCTATGTCTCTACTTAACTTTTTGAAGATGTAGAATACAATTATAAAATTTGTTTTAATGTCCTTGTTTTCTAATTCTAACACTTGCATCAGTTTTGAGTCTAGTTTCAGTTGACTTATTTATCTCTTCTTTACGAATCATATTTTCTTATTTCTTTACATGTCTGCTGATTTTTTATTAGATGCCAGATATAGTCATTTTACTTTTGGGTGCCAGATATTTTTGTATTCCTATAACTGTTCTTGAGCTTAGGCCTGGGATCTAGTTATGGTACTTGGGCAGCTTGATCCTTTTGGATTGTTAGCTAGGACCAGAACAGCACTCATCCCGAGGCTGCTTATTCCCCACTCCTGAGACAAGACCCTTCTGAGTGCTCTCCTCAGCTTCCTTTGAATTATGAGGTGTTCTAATCTGCTGGCAGGCACAGGCTGTATTCCAGGTGGTATGAATGCTGGGCACTGTTACCTCTAATCCTTTTGGGTGGTTCTTTCCCTGGCTTCGGGTAGTTTCCTTACATGAATGTGCTGGTTAAGTACTCAGATGAATATTTGAGAGGATTCTTTACAGATGTCAAAGTTCCGTCCCTGCACTGCTCTCTCCCTTTTGGCATGCTGTCTGTGCTCATCTGCTTTGCTTTCTCTGAACTCCCAGTGTTCATTTCCTCAATTCAGGGAGTTTGCTGGGCCTTGCCTTGGTTCCTCCTCCTGGGGCCATGGCCTGAAAACTGTCTCAAGGATAGAGCAGTCATACCACTCACCTCATTTGTTTTGTTCTCAAGGGATTGCTGTCCTTTGTTGTCTGATATTCAGTGCCTTGCAAACTGTTGTTTCATATGTTTTGTCCACGTTGTATTGTTTCAGGTGGGATGGTAAAGTCTTTTTCCTATTACTCTGTCTTGGCTGGAAGTGGAAGAATTTTAAAATTATTATTCTTAGTAAACTTCTATGTTTTTTGAGACTCATTAATTTAGAATGTGGTATATTTCCCTAAGGGGAGGTCACAGAGAGTGGCACTCAGTACCTGTGAATTAAAAGTGTTTACTGGCTGGATCTCAGCCTGCAGCATCAGAAACTTGGTTTGCTTATCCATTCTGAATGAATCGTCATCTCTCAGCATCAGGGACACATCAGCCCAAGTTATAGACAGTGATCTTTCTTTCTTTGAGATGGAGAGAAGGGGGAGGGGCAAAAGGAGAGGGAGAGAGAGAATCTTAAGTAGACTCCAGTCCCAGCATGGAGCCTGATGTAGGGCTCCATCTCATGACTCTGAGATCATGACCTGGGCCGAAATCAAGAGTCGGAAACTTAACCGACTGAGCCACCCAGGCGCCCTAACAGTGATACTTAATGCTAGAATGATGGCCTATTAAAATGTAAGGAGAAATGTGACTCATGGGACTTACATTTATGCTTTGTGTACCATGGAATCTTTTCATATGGGTCAGCTACACTTGAACTTAATGGTAATTGAATAATTTTTTTTTTAATTTTTTTTATTGTTATGTTAATCACCATATATTACATCATTAGTTTTTGATGCAGTGTTCCATGATTCATTGTTTGTTCATAACACCCAGTGCACCATGCAAAACGTGCCCTCCTCAATACCCATCACCAGGCTAACCCATCCCCCCACCCCCCTACCCTCTAGAACCCTCAGTTTGTTTTTCAGAGTCCATCATCTCTCATGGTTCGTCTCCCCCTCTGACATACTCCCCTTTTCTTCCTCTCCTGTTATCTTCTTCTTTTTCTTTTTTCTTAAAATATGTTGCGTTATTTGTTTCAGAAGTACAGATCTGTGATTCAACAGTCTTGCACAATTCACAGCGCTCACCGTAGCACATACCCTCCCCAATGTCTATCACCCAGCCATCCCATCCCTCCCACCCCCAACCACTCCAGTAACACTCAGTTTGTTTCCTGAGATTAAGAATTCCTCATATCAGTGAGGTCATGTGATACATGTCTTTCTCTGATTGACTTATTTCACTCAGCATAACACCCTCCAGTTCCATCCACGTCGTTGCAAATGGCAAGATCTCATTCCTTTTGATGGCTGCATAATGGTAATTGAATAATTTCTTAGTGTTGAATCCTGATTCAGATGAAGATAATCTCATCACTCACCTATATTCGCTATGCTGTCTTCCTCCTTCAGGTTGTTTTTATATATACACCAATAATATTTGTTCTTCTGTCCAGCCCCATTTGGATTTCATACCTTCTTCAGATATTTTAATACCTGAAGTAGATAAATATCTAAGTCAAATCTTGATGGTCAGAAATTTGTATCGTTAGTGTGAGTTTTCGTATCTCTTCTTTGATCCATTATTTGTTGATTAGAGCCTAACTTTGAGGGCAGTCTTATTTCCTCTTTGTCCCGATGCTTTTGTGGAGCCATCTCACTGTCATTGCTGTCTGAATACAGTATATGTCTGTATATGTCAGCCCATGTCTTTCCTCTTTTCTGTTTTTTTTTTTTAATTTAAAAATATTGATCGGGGGCTGAATTCTGAGAAGCATGTTCATTACATTCATTCCTTCCTTGTTTTATTTTTCTTTTTCTTTTTTCCTTTTTTTTTCCCCTTCCTTCCTTGTTTTAAGAAGCATTTCTTAAACACTGACCATGTTCCAGAGATACGGAGTTACCCTGGAGTAGCTCTTGAGGTATAGAGGATCCTGTCTGTATTCCTGGGACAGCTTGATGACTGCTCTGTATATACATATTGATACACTTTTAATTGTCTTTATATTAAAATATTATAGTTACAACAATATTGGTTAGGTTTTACTGATTATCAAATTTGATTTGCAAGGTAAACACAATATGGAAGTTTCTCTTAGGGAAATTTTTCAGTGAAGCAGATAACTTCCTTATGTGTACATATGTATTTTTTTTAAAGATTTATTTATTTATTTATTTATTTATTTATTTGAGAGTATGTGAGAGGGGGGAGGGTCAGAGGGAGAAGCAGACTCCCCGCTGAGCAGGGAGCCTGATGCGGGACTCGATCCCGGGACTCCAGGATCATGACCTGAGCCGAAGGCAGTCGCTTAACCAACTGAACCACCCAGGCACCCTATATATGTATTTTTTGAACAAGTCATGATCATTCCTTTTCTGTCTTAAGATCTTTGTATAGGTGGTTCACTTTGCATAGGGCATTCTCTCAACCAATTCTCTACCTGCCTTTCCCCCCCCCTCCAGGTTTATGGAGGTATAATTGACAAATAAAAATTATATAACTTATGGTAAACTACATCTATTGATATATAAATACATTGTGCAATGATTACCATAATTAAGCTGATTAACACATCTATCACCTCCCATAGTTACCTTTTTTTATGTTAACATTTAAGATCTATCTTAACAAATTTCAAGTATATGTACTATACAGTACAGTATTATAGCTATAGTCACCAGACTGTACATCAAGTCTCCAGAATTTATTAGCTCTGTGTAACTGAAACTTCGTACCCATTGACCAGCATCTTCTCATTTCCATCTTCCCTCAGACCCTGGCAACCACCATCCCACTCTCTGTTTATATACATTTACCTTTTTTAGATCCCACATGTAAGTGAGATCATGCAGTGTTTGTTTTTCTGTGCCTGGCTTATTTCACTTAGTTAGCATAATGCCCTCCACGTTCATCCATGTTGTCACAAATGGCAGGATTTCCTTCTTTTTAAAGGCTGAATAATATTCCATTATATTATATACATTATATAGTATATATATTCTATATAATATCTCATTTTTCTTTATTCATTTATCCATCAATGGACATTTCAGTTGATTCCATATCTTGGCTATTGCAAATAATGCTGCAGTGAACATGGGAATGTAGATATCTCTTTGATATCCTGTTTTCATTTCCTTTGAATATATGCCCAGAAGTATGATTGCTGGATCATATGGTCATTCTATTTTTCATTTTTTGAGAAACCTCCCTACCATTTTCCACAGTCCTGTACCAATTTGCATTCCCACCAACAGTGCATGAGGAGTCCCTTTTCGCTACATCCTTGCCAACACTTGTTATCTCTTGTCTTTTTTTTTTTTTAAGATTTTATTTATTTATTCGAGAGAGAGAGAATGAGAGATAGAGAGCACGAGAGGGAAGAGGGTCAGAGGGAGAAGCAGACTCCCCGCCGAGCGGGGAGCCCGATGTGGGACTCGATCCCGGGACTCCAGGATCATGACCTGAGCCGAAGGCAGTCGCTTAACCAACTGAGCCACCCAGGCGCCCCATCTCTTGTCTTTTTAATAATAGCCATTCTAACAGGGGTGAGGTGATATGTCATTGTGGTTTTGATTTGCATTTCCCTGATGATTTCGTCATGTTGAGCATTTTTTCGTATACCCGTTGGCCATTTGTATATCTTTTGAGAAATATCTGTTCAATTCTTTTGCTTATTTTTAAATCAGGATATTTTCTTGCTATTGAGTTGTCTAGCTCCTTATGTATTTTTGAGTATTAACCCCTTATTGGGTAGATGGTTTGCAGGTATTTTCTCCCATCCATAGATTGTCTCTTCACTGTGTTAATTGTTTCCTTTGCTGTGCAGGAACTTCTTAGTTTGATGCAACCCCTTTTGTCTATTTTTACTGTTGTTGCCTGTGCTTTTGAGGTCATATCTGAAAAATCATTGCCCAAACCAATGACAAAAAACTTTTCCTTATGTTTTTTTCTAATGGTTTTACAAATTCAGGTCTTATGTTTAAGTCTTTAACCCATTTTGAGTTGACTTTTGGATATGGTATGAGATCGGGGTCCAATTTCACTCCTCTGCATGTGGATATTAAGTTTTCCCATCACCATTTGTTAAAGAGACTGTCTTTACTGTGTGTTCTTGATACCTTTGTTGAGGATCAGTTGACTGTAAATGCATTTATTTCTCGGCTCTTTTCTGTTCCATTGGTCTAGGTTGTTTTTGTTTGTTTGTTTTGTTTTTTAATGCCAGCAGTGTGCTGCTTTTGCTAAGTATAGCTTGGTAGTGTACTTTAAAATCATGTAATTTGATGCTTCGAGCTTTGTTCTTTTTGCTCGATTGGTTTGGCTATTTGGAGTCTTTTGTGGTTCTGTATGAATTTTAGGGTTTCTGTTATATTTCTGTGAAAAATGCCATTGGAACTTTGATAGGAATTTGAATCTGTAGATCACTTTGGGTGAATGGTCATTTTAATAATAGTAATTCTTCTAATTGATGTACCTGGCATATCTTTCCATTTATTAGTGTTTTTCATTTTTTTTATCAATGTTTTATAGTTTTATTGTACAGGTCTTACACCTCCTTGGTTAAATTTATATGAGTATTCTTTTTTCCTGCCCCATTCCCCAAATTTATGAGTAATTTTGAACCACTGAAGAGCTTATATCATCTGGTAAAAGATGGCACAAAGTCTACTAGAGTGTATAAAATATCAGAAACACGGTCATCGCAAAAAAAAAAGTGAATGAAGACAGCCAATCTTTATGTCTGCTTTGTTGTAAAACAGTTTCTTAATTGTATTGATATGAAAGTGACTGAAATGCTTTGTTTTTAGCAACTAAATTGATTTTAGGTTTTCCTTTGTAGGTGGATTGGACTCTAAATATTGGAGAGCAAGCACTTGATATATGTATTGTCTCTTTCAATCAGTCAGCATCTTCTGTTTTTGTTCTTGGTGAAAGAAACTTTTTTTGCCTTAAGGATAATGGACAGATTCGATTCATGAAGAAACTTGATTGTAGCCCAAGTTGTTTTCTCCCGTATTGCTCAGGTGGGTAGAAGGATTCTTCTTTTATCTTTTCCATATGTCAAGGCTCTGTTATATACATCAGGAAAAGCCAAATTCACACGCATATATTTTAAACATCTGAGAAAATAGTTTTATACAGAACGTGTAATGGAAATTTTAACTTTTAAAGTTTGAATACACATTTGATATAAAGCACACATTTGGTTTTGTCAGTCATTTTACCTTGCATAGAAGGTCTTGGAGAATTGGCCTCAGGTATACATTTATGCTTTCCAAAAAGTGGCAGTTCAAGATATTTGCAAAAGAACACCAGATTCTTTTATAAGCAGAAAGGAGCATAGTAATGCCTAATGGAATGACTTATCTGTAGCCAGTGCCCAGTAAGAACCATTAGCTCATTGTGTTAAATATTAATGAAATTCATGCTTTCTTGATAAAATGCAAAAATGTTGGCTGCTATCTACTTATAGTTCCCAAGTCTGTAAAATTATTATTTTAATTTTTGATATTGGTGCTTGAAGTTGAAAAATACTATTTTATTACTTAAAATAAATACCTTATTACTTTATGCTTTTCCATGAAGACGTTAGAATTAGTTTGTATCATAAATCCCTTAAAAGTGTTATACTATTGCAAATAACTGTTTTCTTATTATCCTCTTTTCTATATTCAACATACAGTTTCTGAAGGAACAACAAATACTTTGATTGGAAACCATAATAACATGTTGCATATTTATCAGGATGTGACACTGAAGTGGGCTACTCAGCTTCCCCATATTCCTGTAGCAGTAAGAGTGGGCTGTTTACAGTAAGTGATTTAACTTTTTTTTAGGATCTTAGTCTAGGAATTTTGTAGAAGTTTTATGAAACAATAGCAAGTGATTTTACTAGGAATGACAAGTGACATTGTAGTGTGAATGTTAACAATGGAAACAATTTAAAATATAACTTTTATTGGAAAAGGATATAAAAAGGTCTTACTTAGCCTTCATCAATCATTTTTATTTTATTTTAATTCCCAGATAGTTAACATAAAGTATTATATTAGTTTCAGGTGAACAATATATTGATTCAATAATTCCATACATCACCCAGTGCTCATCATGATAAGTGCACTCCTTAATCCCCTCAATCATTTTTATTTAGTATCTCTAGTGAAATATCTTTTGTAAATTAAAGATTTAAAGAAAATGGCTTATCTGATAGATTTTTTTCTTTAAAATAGGAAAGGATTTCTTCAGGCATTTGATGGGTTCCATTTAGAGATCAGTTATTATTAGACTGAGACTATTACACATCAAAACTTGTTTCAGACCTTATTATGTCAAGTGGTGCAGAATTGCTAATGATTATGTACTTAAGACAGTTCAGATTTTAAATAGGGCCAATTTGCTTTTAAAATGAAAGATAAAATCCATACCTTAAATTTACAAAATTTATCAAAAATAAGAGAAATGAGACATAACTGTGTAATTTTTCTAGGTTGTCAGTATAAAAGGCAAGATCCTGACTAACCTTTAGCATCTCAGATTATGTTTAGGAATTGAAAATCCCAGTAAATACGTAGAAAGACAACTTTCTCTTTTTTTTTTAAAAGATTTTATTTTTAAATAATCGCTACACTCAATGTGGGGCTTGAACTCACAACCCTGAGACCAAGAGTCGCACGCTCCACTGACTGAGCTAGCCACATTCCCCCTAGAAACTCAACTTTCTCTAAAGCTTTATAGATTCCCTAGATCTAGTCAGTTCTGCTTATTTAGATAATTTTATTGAAATTTAAAAACCATATGTAGAATTCTTCAGTGGCACCTGTAGTATCTGATCAGTATGACTAATTCTCCCAAATTAAGAGATTGGATGTGTAAAATTGTTGAAGCTCAATGAAGGGTATTCATATTTGCATTAGTGGTTAATCTGAAGCCTGAATACTGGAAAAATAGAAACACCATTTTGAAAACATTGACTATTTTAAAAAGAAGTTGCTTTCTCATGTTTTATGAGAAAATACCATCATATAATTGCTATGCACTTAACTAAATTATAGTTATTTTGTATCTGAAGAAAAATATAAAATTTTAAGATTGGCTTTTACAACATCTACCAGATAGTCTTTTAAGTTCAACCAAACACTTAGATTCACCAGACATTTTAAATCAGATTTACTTAAAAGGATTTAGAACAGGAAAAACATCTTGCCAGCAGGGCAATGTCAAGTATTTCTCTTCTGGGAGAGTAATTCTTGCAGTAGTCCATATATCCATCCAAGAGCTCTTCTCTTTGGCCTCCCAAGTGACAACTCAGGTGTAAGAAGACAGATCCACACTGATGGGTATGTGGCTTATCTTGGCTTATAGGTTTAAATACTAAAAGGTCATTGTGGTTTTTGTGTGTATGTGGGGCAGAGGAGAGTGATGGATAGGAAAGATCTTATTGAGACCATTTAGTTGAAATGCTTATTTTACACATATATTATTTACACATTTCAAGAGTCACGGTACTCAGAGAAGCTCAAAGATACAGTTTCTGAGCAGATATTTATGGTTAATTTATGGTTTCAGTTCAGATGCACCTTATGAGTTAAGGGTCCAGAAATAACTGAAATAGTTCGGAGTGAAAAACCAAATTTCCATGTAGTGTGAATCAAGATGCTATATTCAGAAGTAGTCTGTCACCTCTGAACTGAGGTATTTGTAAGTGAAACTTCCTATTTCTTCTCATAGCTTTTTCAACATCATAATTATAAACAATTAAATGTAAATATTGCCATTAATGATTTCCACAGTTTATTACTATGTAACAATAGCTTTTAATTATTCATTGGAAAATTTTTCTTATTTTTATGTACTTTAGCATATAAAAGTATAGAGTTAGACTGAAAGAATTTCATTGTAATTTGTATTAGAATTTTAAAAGTGATTATTATTGACTTAGCTATAGTGTATTTATGTTTAGAAGTTATCATTTGGAATTAGAAGCAGTGAAATAATTTTGCTTCTGCTTTTTATTACCTTTAGAGTTAAACTTTTTTGGTTCAACTTCCTTGGCTGAATGTGTTTATTTGTAGAGGAAATTGCTGCTATTTTAATATGTTTCTTTTCAGTGAATAAGAAATACTGGATTTGGATCAAGTTGATGCAATTATACTTAATAACAGCATTTTGCTCAGAAACTAAGATGCTTTATTTCCTCCCACTCCCATTTACTTGGCAGTCCAAGTCCTTTACCTTTTTTATTATAAACCAATGCTAAATCTGCCTGTTTTCTTCTTTCTTTTCAGGGTAAACGGCATTCTTGATTAGAGAGATTTTTTTTTTTTAGTTTAATTATTTTAATTTTTTGTATTAAACTATGGGAATGTGATATGTGTATAGTTTGTAGTTTAAAGAATAAGAAGAGCATGAATGTGATAGTATTCTTTAAAATCTCAGCTATTATTGTTTTCCTCTAATTGCACGAAGTAGCTGTGGAAGCCTGGCCAGTGTCTTAGCTCTGCTGTGGTCAGTTTCCCAAACGGCAAATAAAGATCATCATTTATCCGTAATGTTATTCTCTCTAGAGATACAAAATATACCTCAAAGTGGAAGTCTATTTGAATGGATGTTCAAAGTGATGAGAACCTTTCCAAACTTCAGCTGGCAACCACAGCCGTTGTGCTTTAAAATCTTACTGCAGCTTGTTTTTCAGGATAAACAATTTGGTCTGGTACTTCAGTGTTTTTCTTCCTAGGCTATATCTACTATAGTAACTTACTATAACTGTCAGTATTTAACCATTTCATTCTTTAACCTTCTTCGATGTAGTAATCTTGACCAGAATGTTTTCCTCATTTCTTCTTTGGATTTTCCAGTTTCTTTTATCTTCCAGTCCTAACTCAAGTCACATAAATAAGCCTTCCCTCTCTTCTCTGGTCTCCTCTTCCTCTGAATTTCTATATTTATCTTATGTTGGTGAATGCTGTTTGATTTTCCTAACTCCTCAACTCAATTGTACTCTCCTTTAATGTTAGGGGCCTTTCTACTTTTGCATATTGCACTGAATAATCAGCCAGAAAGCTGAATATATGGTATATGCTTGGTAAATATGTAAAAATCATTGTGATCTGTGCATGTCAGGGGGAGGAATGGATGAAAAGATCTTCTAAGAGCTTTCAGTTGAAATACCTTTTTAAAGATATGGAACAATTGAGAGTCATAGATAGAAGGCTATTACTTCTTTGAAGACAAACTTATTAGGAGAATTTTCAAATTTCAGAGTGATTTTTTTTTAAGTTTAACTTTTGCTGTCAATTTGTCATTTCTTTTTTTGTGTGCTTTTAGAAAGGGAACATGGACCTAAATAGACACTTTTTCCTATGTTGTATTTTTAAGGATTTCCTTTGTGGCTTAATGGTACACATAAAATTTGTAAATATTTCTGGAATTAAGGTAGAGCATAAATTATGATTTTAGAATTTCTGCATTCTTTTTGGTATATTCCCTTATTAATCTGTTGTAGCTCAGGACTGGAATGTTAGTCTTTCATTAGTATATTTTTTCTGTCATTTTTTTGTTGAATAGCTAAGCATTTTGGTTTATATAGTCTAGTTCTGTATATTCAGCTTATGTCTATAATATTTTACTTTTTTGGTGAGTTTGCAAAATTTATCAATATAAAATTCCCCTTTCTGTCTTCTCATTTAATATTTCTTTTTTTGCTTTTGTTTTGTTTTACTTGCTTTGAATTCAGTTTGCTGTTGTCTGTGCTTTTTTTAATCTGTAATTTTATTTATTATTATTTTTTTAAGATTTTATTTATTTATTTGACAGAAAGAGCACAAACAGGCAAAGAGGCAGGCAGAGGGAGAGGGAGAAACAGGCTTTCTGCTGAGCTGCGAGCCCGATGTGGGACTTGATCCCAGGACCCTGGGATCATGACCTGAGCCAAAGGCAGACACTTAACCAACTGAGCCACTCAGGCACGCTGTAATTTTATTTTGGATGCATCTCTTGCAAACAGAAAATTTGATTGGATTTTTAAACCCATTTTGAAGATCATTTCCCTTTACCCATTTACAATTGTTATAATCTATGTATTTGGTCATTTTTCATCTGTATGATATTCTGTACTTTTAATTGTATTTCCTTTGCTCTCCATCTCTTTGTGAGTTGGGGATTCTCTGTCCTTGGATCTCCTATGTATTGGATGGTACGTACACATACATATCTCTTTTCTTTATTTCTATTAGTATTTACTTTTCAGTTTTGCCATAATCCAAAAATGAAATGAATCTTTCTCCCCGTGATAGGCAAAGGGTTTAATACACTGTTTCTTTCTCCTTTCCTGTTTCCCCACTCCTTGTACCACCTCCACACACAGGCATGGGTATACACATGAGCTTGTTCTCACACATATCACCCCCCAACACCCACACAGCCTTTGTTGCCATTTGTTCTTTGCTATGGTAACATAAGCTATTAACTATAAATTATTATTAAACTATACTAGTCCTTTTTTTGAGAATGTTTTAAAATTTGTATTCACTTTTTGTCTAGACCTATACTAATTTTTGTTATTTTTCTATATCTGTTAAATGTTGTGAATCTTTTTATATCACAAATTATAATTTTTTAACTTATTAATTTCACTTCCTCTCTTAATAGGATAATTTAATGTTCCCAGGAATGGTATAGGGTGTTAATATTTTATGGTAAAAATATAGTTACATTTTCCCCTCAAACTTTATTGATGTTGCTCCTTTATTTTTTAAAAATAACTTTTGTGGAAAATTATAATCTTGTGATTTCTATAAAAAGTATAGAGCTGTAC